TAAAATTGGAAAAAAAAATAATTAATATACTCTCAAAATCCTAAATTAACAGTTAAAATGAAACAAGGTAAAATATTCATTTGTCACTATTAAAGTGGTACTATTTAATTTATTTATGAAGATATGAAATTTTTTAATTAATTAAAGAGGAAGTACTATTAATTAATGGCCCAACAAAAGAGAGAGGGGGTCTCGCAAGGTGGGCCAGCGTCCGTTGAAATCCCCGTTAAGGAATTATCTTCATTTGGGCCCATCACTGTACAGAAACAGTACAATTAATAATAATCAATTGCAGGTTTTGTAAAGGAATCATTTTTACAATTTCAATTTTAATTTTTTGGTCTATAATTTTAATTTTATAACTGGTCACATTATATAATTTAATTTTTATCATTATTTTTTTTGCAACTTATTATGTTTTCTATCCTGGGATAGAAGTTGCGAAAATTTTGTAATGAATTAAAAAAAATTAACAAAATCCTCAATTTCAACTAATTCTTTTAATTTTATCAGTTGATAGTTTATATTTAATGTTTCATAATAATGGTGGCTTTCATACGATTGATGGTCAAATTCAGGTGACATCTATTAAAACTAATTGTGTGACCTATTACACATGATATTTCAACATTCACTGAGAAATTCACTAACAACTCAATATGAAATTCAGCTTCTTTAATTAGTTAGACTAGTCATGTTATGGTAAGTTTTAAATTTTGACTACATAAAAGCCAATATTTTTTTGTCTAAATTGTTAATAACGTGTGTGTTCGCCTAAAATATAGATGAAGCAACAATAAAACAATAACAGAATTCAGCAAATTAACTTCTTAAGGGTATGATAGTAAACCGTGTGAATATGTATTTGTGAACCATCAATTAAACTCAGCATTATGACTTAAAGGCAAGTAAATGATGTCAATTCTGAGAAAAACACGGTGAGCCTAAGTGAAGGAGACTCAGAAGAATAGACTGAAAAATATTAGAGAGAACGGAAAATAAATAAGAAATGAAAACAAGTTTGTGTAATTGAATTAGTTGCATCCTCTGATCGTATTTATAATCCCATTGATAACAAATTATATATATTTTTTACCCTAATTAGACTTCTAAAATATTATTAAGGTGACACTCTAGCTGGATCACACATCAGTTAAGCACAAGGTGAAAAGTGATGTATATAAAAATGAGCAAGTTTTAAACTAGTAAAACGCATTTTGGAATATGAAATGGTTCTAGTCTAGGAATAAATATATGCGTATTATGCTTAAAGCGGACAATATCTTACTAAGCCTGAGATTCTTTAATACTTATAAAAAATATTAATTCTGTACGGACTAGATCCAAAGCGAATAATATCTTGCTAGAACTGAGATTCTTTAACACTTTATAAAGAATGTTAATCTATCAGAGCCGATCAAGTGTCCTTGGAGGTACCTTGGGCCTCATGAGTAAAGAAATGTAATTAATTATTTATAATTTTAATATATGTTTTCGGCAGAAAATATTTGCTTCCTCGTTTACTTTTCGGGCCGAGATTGACATTTTGGGCTAAACTATATTACTTGGTTTAAAACCCTTAGCCCAAGTAATAGAATTTAAGCTCATCATGGCTGATATTAACAGTGGCCCCCTGTAAATAGCATTCAGGCTCAAATATCAACGGATATGTTGCATCTTTTCCAGCCCAAGTTTGTCTGTTTACATTCCACTACGGATCTTCATTTTTCCGTGTAAACCACTGAATTAAATCAAACGAAACCAACTTAGGTATATATATAGATTCCGTCTGTAAACCACGTAATTAAATCGAAACGGGAAAACCAACTTAGGTATATATATATAATAATAATATATATATATATATATATATGTTAAATGATATTTACATTTTGTTTAAATTTTTTTTAATAAGTTATAAATTACTTTGTAATTTCAACAGAATTAATATATTATATATTAATTTCAAATTTGATTACGTTATATATATGCAGTTCAGTTTCAATTTGTAACCCCTCAAAAATAATTTAGTTTCCAATTCAGAAAAAGTTCCGCAAACCATAATTATCAAATTGTTTGAAAATATATGTTAAATGATATTTACATTTTGTTTATTTTTTTAATAAGTATAATTACTTTGTAATTTCAACAGAATTAATATATTATATATTATTTCAATTTGATACGTTATATATATCAGTTCAGTTCAATTTGTAACTCAAAAATAATTTAGTTTCCAATTCAAAAAGTTCGCAAACCATAATTATCAATTTGGTTTGAAAATTTCTTCAAACCGCTCTAAACTAGACCGTGAAACACCCCAACCTTCTACTGCCTCTTCATCATTAGAGCTGTAAGGGTGTTTAGTTTAACTTTTATGTCAGTCAAACCTACTTTATAGTAAAAAAAAAAAAGTAAAAGTAAAATAATATTTGGTTTGATTTTAAGTTAAAAAATCTACTAAAAATAAGTCAAAAAGTCATAAGGTAACCCTTATCTACTTATTTTAGGTTTTGATAAAGTAAAGGACTATATTACCTGAATAATTCTTATATTACCCTTGGTTTTTAACAAACCTTTAAATTTTCTATTTAATTAGTATAGAATATTTGATAATTATAACAAATTAAGTTACTTTGAATGGTTGAATTGCTTAAAAATAACTTTTAAATAATCTTACCAAATATTTAACTACTTAATTTTAGAATAACTTATATATAATATCTCTCAGTTTAAGTCGTGGAAACTTGTTCAGACATATTGGATTAAACTATTAAAAATATCCCAAAATTTTTGTTTTCTAATAATTGCATTACATAGCTAACTTAATCCTTCTAGCAATCTAATTGTTACCTTTTGTCACAATTGTACCCTAATTCAAAATTGGTCAAAATTAGTGAATGAAAAAAAAAATTAAAATGTGGATCTCACACCTCATATTTGAGTTGAGTTAACAATTTGGTGGTTGTAACAATTGCACCCTAAAATGATTTTAATCCTCATATACCTAATTTTAACTTTTTATCACAATTGCATATCAAATTCAAATTATGGTAAATAATACTATCATAATTGCACCCTACATTCAAATATGAGTCATAATCAATGACAATTTCAATCTAAATTCAAGAAGAGATGAGTTCGGAATAAAGCAAATTATGGCAAATATGCAATCATAATTAAAACTTTAAATTCAAAATTTCATCTCGTTTTTTATGTGCAAAGCCTAAATTACTCGAGAAAATATAGTGCACTCCAAAAACAACCTTTAACCTCCAAACACCCCGTGCAAATTATGTAAATTTATTGAATAAAAATACTAATTGTGAGTCTTACATCTGCACGTTAGGTTAACTAATCCAAAGGGTTGGTTAATTGAAATGGTGTATTTCATGAACCTCTTCTATGAAATCATTTGCAAAATGTTTTGCTTTATTTTGAACTCATCTCCTCTTGATTACTTCTTCTCTAGTAATCTAGGATTTTTCTATTAAAATAAGATAAAATATAAAATTAAGATGAAATTGTAATTGAATGTGACCCCTAATTAAAATTTATGTGCAATTATGGCTTTATATTTGCCATAATTTGAATTTGAGGTGCAATTGTGATAAAAAGTTAACATTAAGTAATTGAGGGATTAAGATCATTTTTGGATGCAATTGTTACAACGGCTAAAGTTTAAAGTATTATATAGTTTAGTCAACTCATTCCTTGGAATAAGTTAACTCAAGTATAGATTGTGAGATCCACATTCAATATATTTTATTTACTAATTTTGACCAATTTTAAATTAAGGTATAATTGTGACAAAAAGTTACAATTAGGATGCACGAGAGGTTAAGTTGGATTTAGAATGCAATCGTTACAAGATGCAAAGTTTGGAGTATTTTTACATATTGTTTGAAATTGAAATTATTTGATAGGTTTGGAGAGTAAAGTAAGGTAGAGAGAGATTATTTAGTCGTTTGAGAAAAAAGTTTGAGGGAGAGTATGGTTTTTTGAAAGTTATTTGAAGGGTTGAAAAATCCGTCTGAACTCCCCAATCTTCAATATCCCAAATCGGAGTGTAAGCAAAATTGGGGTGTAAACATGGTTAAAAATTTTAATTTCTAAAATTATCCATAATTATATTTATAAATCTTTCATGATAAACGTATTTACGTAATATTTATATGTAATATTACCTTCCTCTACCATCAAACCAAACAAAAAAATGTTATTAAACCTTCATTTATACTTTCTTCAAAAATACAAAAAATACATTTATCATATTTCCTCTTACCATACTTTATTATATCTTGCTTTAATAATCTCTCTCTTCCTTCATCCAAACAATGCCTTAATAGTTTAGCCGATATATTGTTATGATCTCGGAAGAACCTTTTAGCCGATATATTGTTATGATCTTGGAAGAACCTACGCTCTACAGTCTTGGCGCTACTGTAGCTTGTGAGGTTTTTTTCTAACTCCAAGCAAAATGCTAAACGTAATATATTTTATTTGCTAATTTTGACCGATTCTAAATTAGGATATAATGATGATACAAAGTTATAATTAAGATGCCTAGAGATTAAGTTAGTGCAATTATTGAGACGCAAAGTTTAACATATTTTTAATAGTTTAGCCAATATATTCTTATAATCTTGGAAGAACCTACACTCCACAATTCTTGCATCACTAACCACCCCACTCTAAGAGCCATATTTTCTTCTTGATAGAGAACGTCATAAGTGAGACAAGGAAACGAAAGACCATAAGGAAAATTCCTCATTTTCTTGCAGTTTTCCGCTTGCCACACGAGCTAAAACCTATTTTCTTTCTCAAAAGCATAAAAAGAACACTCTCAAAATTTTATTGGATGGGTTCCAATGGAGACGAAGAGGTGAAGGAGAATGTTATTAGGTGTGCCCTAAACCATCTAAAAGGTAGTTGCACGTAGATATCATATTTTTTGTGTTATATATTTTATTAATTAATAAAAAGACATTATTTATCTTTATATTCAATTAATGTCCATTTCATTCTCAACCAAAAAAGAAGATAATTATCCATGATGATTACTTCAATCGTTGAGATTTACATTTTTCTATAGAAATTTTATAACTGACTTGCTCTCAATTTTACACAAAATTTGCACAAGCAGAAAGCCCAAGTTAGAGAAAAGCTAAATCATCCAAAAAATTAGGTTGGTTAATCTTCAGCAGCCAAAAGAACCATGAGTTACAGGGAGAATTCAACGCATCAGCTTACAGAAGATTCACATTTGCTCTTGACGGCTAAAGCTGCTGCTCTATACCATGAGGCTGCAGCTATAGCTCCTGGATCAGGGACCGATGCAAGCATCTCTGCTGAGACATAGGTAGAGCGGCCAGCCTGCATAAACCATTTCATGAGACCCCCACATACATGCGACGCAATGCACAAAATGGTGAAACAAAATTGCAACAGGACATGGATATCGCATGCAGCTGAAAAATATACTAAATACTACAAAAAAAGCAGTAACATTCAAACAAGAATGTTAAAGAAATCAACAAACTATGCACCAGAATGAGGCACTGACAATATCGTGTTAGCAAACCTCTGCAAGTTTACAAGCGCTACACGCATGGACTCAAGTGTAAATTGCCACAAATTGAACTCATAGATTAACTGTCATGTTTGGAGTTTGACTCATTCATGTTTTCCAGATTTTCATGCATTCAATTATTTACCTTTTTTGTGATTCCTGTTTTGTAGGAGGGTGTCCTCCACTTTCTTTTCATCTAAATTTGTTTCCAGTTTGTAGGAGGGTATTCCTCCACTTTGAAGTACTGCTCCTTTGATTCAGGAGGTAGTTACTCCACTCATGTATTTAAACAATAACAATCAATGAAAGATGCAGCTTCCAAAAAAATCAGTCTTTGAGCACTTCAGTCTCAAGAGGTACTCAGGTTCCCTCCTTAGAGCCTGAACCAACAGTCAACATAGGTCGTAAAAAGAAAAACCCCAACCAATCCACTCAAACACCACCCATACCCATTACCGACAGACCCATAACTAGATCGTTAACCTAGGACCATAACATATCGCCTAGCTTATATAAGCGAAGTAACAAGGCGACTAGTCAGGAAGAGCATACAAGGATCTTTGCATTGGCACATATCATTATACCAGATCCTGTTTCATAAATACGTGTGTTTAACTGTAGAAAACTTTGCCTTTCTACAGATTTTTCCAAGAAAACTAGAAAACAGAATTCTGTGCACAAATGTGATATTATTCCAAATAGAAAACTAAAAACTCAATTTCCTGGTTTTCTAAAGGACAACTTGAAAACAAGTTTAAGATTTTTTCCAGCATTTCCTTCAACAAAAATAAGTTTCTTTTGACATTTTTTTTAGTAGTAGTAGTACTACTAGCAGTCTTTCACTGTCTTTTACCGCTTCGTTTTTGAATACATTGTCATTCTTATACTTTAATTATAGAAAAAAGATATGATATGAACATATTTTTAAATTCCAAAATTGGGAAATGATTTCCTGCTTCTGGTAAATGAACATGTTTGTCATAGAAAACGAAAAGAAAGGTTTTCAATTAAACTGGTAAATGGAAAAAAGAAATTGGACTCTAAGGTTTCAAGCCAAGCACCACTGGAAAGAATATGTACAACAATTTTAACAATATCATAACAAAGTAGTTTCCTAGGTTTTTGAGTTCTGATAGAATAATATATAGAATAATGCAATGAAAGTAATATGCGACTACGCAATAATAGTTTTTAGGGTAAAATAGCTTTTACATGCAAAATATTAATTTGATGTATGATTAGTACTTTTGAAATAATAATTTTCACATTTGTTTAACTATCCAATAAGTGTTTAATCAATCTAATTCAAAAGTTGGAATGTTCAATAGAATTATTTTACAAATTGAAGTATTTAATAGGTTATTTTATAAGTTTATGTATTCAATGAGTCAGTAAAAGTTACAGGTAACGCAGAAAGTACAGGGGTCAATTTATGTGTTCAGCCAGTTTCGAATCCTGGGGAGGCATACACAAAATGATGTGGGAAGGATGAGGATCCTAAAATGTGTGTGGAAAAATACAAGAGAAGATTGAACACATTGGAAGAAAATATTATGATGGAGTAACGTGAAGGTTCGAACTATGGGCGTATTTAATACTCCCCAATAGAAGAGGATCAATAGTCAATGTAGAAACAAATAAATAGAAACTCCTAGTTATGCCTCCTGAAAATTGACTTCTTGTAGTAGTAGAGAAGTTTATCATAGTTCTCTTTTAAAAGAAATGGAAATTCATCTAAAAAACTGATCATAGTTAGCGTGTCAAAATGCTAATTATTATTTAAAGTTCAAAGAATGAAATGTTAAGATGCTAAGAGTTTACACAAGCTTCAAGCTTAAATCTCTGAACATGCATTAAAATTGTCTTCTTAACACTTTTCTGTATTTTCTAATTGTTCAAGTCATCAAGTTTTATGATTGAATACACCTTGCAAAACAATTAGCTATTGTCTTTACTATCTCAACCTTTAGAAAAGAATGTTGAATTATGAATTGCTTCATAGTTGACTACAAGATCATACAATAAAGAACTTCTCTAAAACATGAAGTTTCACAATAAACTACTGTTAGATTGCAATAGCTAAAGACAGAATTATTAAAAACAAAAGAAAAAGTAGCCAATTAAGAATACAGTATAGTCCACTATAAATTCTGATGTCCCATAAACTGCTGCTATAACAAGCCAAACCATAACCTCCTTCATTCTAAATTAGATCTAAATTTAACTATCAAAGTTCTTGTTCTCTGATGTATGCATTTTATGCATACAATTTTGGGGTTTTAATTGTTTAATTAGTTAGTTAAAGATTATTTTGAAAAGAATAATTCTAGTTTTTGTACATATTCTAGATGTTTTTCTCTCCCTTAGTGTAGGAGTGCAGGAATTAAATGTCTCAATAGTACAAAAGCTAACAGAGACCCAGAGGAGTCTAACAGCCAGTTTATGCGCTGTGTATTATGCACTTAGAGTCAACAACTTTCCTAAAAAGCATGCCCCACCAACCAGCTATGCATGCTGAAGAAACGACATTCCAACGAGCCGTTAACCAGGCTGAGAGCAGCTCTATGAAGCTGCTCTTCATCAGGACCGCCCGTTTGTCGGGCGTGCATTTAGGGTTCCTACAAGCAGACTAGAAAGCACGCCCTAATGACTGCCCGTGCAAAATTCCTCTCGCCACTAAATACAAGGGACTTAGTTAGAGATGTCTTTAATATCCTCTCACAACAGCCTTTATACTATAAAAGGGAAAAGATATGGCATTTATGATAAGGAGAGAATCAAGGATATTTACTAATTGCAACATAGAACAGAAAATCCTGGAGAAGAGAGTCACCTTACTTCATTCTCTTTATCTAGGTTGGAGAGAGTCTACTCCACAGTAAGCAGCAGATATTGGAGCTTTTACTCTGTTTTCATTGTGGACAAGGATGGCTTTTTTGAAATCTCTTTTCCTCTTCTTCTAGTGTTGGATATACTTGTAATGAGTAGTGAGTAGTTTCCATTACTAGTGTTGGGTGGAAACCCATTTGAACTGAGATACTTGTAATCATTTAATGCTTTTAATCTAAAGCTGATGTTCTTGATTTATGTTCGGTGATCTTAATGCTTCAAGTTATGAAGAGTTCCATGCTTGTATGAACTTAAATGAGTGGGTGAAGGATCAAGAGACGAAACCCATAATTTGACTGACCATAATATAAACCTGAGATTTAGACTAAGAGATAAGAAGGGTGTTAAGGGAAGTTAAGAGATTTATTCCTAAGTAGTCTAGGAGTTAGATTCCTAAATAGTTAGAAACATCTTATATATATATATATATATATAAGAAAAGTAGCCAATAAGGAATACGAGTATAGGTATCCAATCTATTTAAACAATTATGGCGTTATGCAAGTTGCTCCGGCAGTAACTGCTGCTAATAACGACAGCGCAACAAATTACCGATATATACTTCTTTCCTTACAGTTCCAAGGCTGAAATTCTTGGAATTTATGAAAGCTAAAATTAGGATTCTAAAAATTAACTATAACACAGAGTTATCCATATCTGTGCCAATGTAGCACTACTATTTCCTTAATATGCATGATGATCATCATATATAGAGTGCGGGATAGAACTTGATAAAATTGTTTTTAGATTAGTTTAGTTAAAGGGGCTCGAGATAATTTTGAAACAAGAATACAAATATCTTATGAGCTTCTTTGTCCCTTGTTACAAGTCTATCTACATCTTAACATTGTAATATCTCTCGCACTTGATTTAGGCACGGGGTTAGCCAGGAAGATATTCGTTTTACGAATGGATTGTTGCCTCTAGAGACTCCGCCGGCACCTTATGCAGAAATCAAAGTCTTTGGGTTTCCGGGGAATAGTTACAAAAGCTAACAGAGGACCCAGGAGGAGTCTAAAACAGCCGAGTTATTATTGGCCGCAAGGTGGCCTGGAATATCTTTAACCACTTAGAGATCAACTACGGAGCTAAGTTTTTCGGCTCAAAAACCAAGCCCATTAGGCAGTGGACCCACCAACCAGCTTGACTGCGCCAGTTGCTTGAACTTACTATTGACTCTACACACTTTGCCAGAGGCAGAGAGCCGTTACTACTCAGGCCGAGGCTCCGAGAGAAGCAGGCACTTCTATGAATGAAAGCAGCTGACCTCTGATAATCCCACTGGTTACTTGATCTCGTCCCGATGTTTGGGGTTCGGGCGGGTCAGTGTTTAGGCGGTTTCCTAACAAAAAGCGGACGCGTTATCCTATATAAACAGCGCGTTGGTGGCCAAGATGGACTTGTCCATTTTGGTATGGTTTAATTCCTGTTAACGGAACCGAAACCTCAGCCTGCTAACTAGCTATGCGGAGGTGCACCTCCACGCGGCCCAGCTTCTGTGCTTTTTTACAGGAGAAATATTCGCCTCCTCTCCACTAAGAGCTACACAAAGGGAGGAATTTTATTGTATAGCAGATGTCTGGTCACACATAGCCACATCTCAACAACAAGCGAGAGCCTTGTGATGCCCTTAGAATAGCTATCTAAAAGGTAGAAAGATATGCATTTATGATAAGGAGAGGTACTCATCAAGGATATATTACTAATGCAACACCAGTCTCAGGCAACAGAAAATTCTGAGAAGAGAGTCCAGCCTTACTTCCATGTCTCTTATCATAGGTGGAAGAGAGTCTACCTCCACAGTAAGCAAGCAGAGATTGAGCTTTTACCCTCTGTTTCATTGTGGACAAGGATGCTTTTTTGAAAATCTCTTTTTTCCTCTCTTCTAGTGTGATATACTTGTAATGAGTAGTGA